TCTGTTCCCGCCAGGTGTGATGGTTTTCATTGGTCCGCACACATCACTGTGTATCAGTTCCATGGGTTTAATGGTTTTACTCTGACTGGTCTGTGGAAGAGAGGTTCGGGTGGCCTTTGCTTTGATGCAACACGTGCACTTGCTGAGTGTGTGGCAAGGCAATATTTTCATGTCTTCTGATAGACCTCTCTTTGCAAAGTCCTTTATAGCTTCTGGGTTTCGATGCCCCAATCTTCTATGCCACAGGTGGATGCACTTGTCATGTGGGTTATGAGTTGCCGCATTAGCCTTCTCACTTTCAGTGACGATTTTGTACAGATGTTCATTTAATCTTCCTCTTGCTAGAATTTGCTTTCCATTTTGAATTGTGCATTCATTACCTCTGAACTGGACAGTGAGTCCATTGCTTGCAAGGGTTTTAACTGATAGGAGGCTTGCTTCTAGGCTTGGAACATATAGAACATTCTTTACAAGGATGCTCTGCTTGCCCCCTGATGGCGTTTTGCAGTTCAGAAATCCCTGACCATTACCTTCCGCTGTAATACTTTTCCAATTTGCTAGGAAGACTTTATCTTTTACACTAAAATCAACTTCTGTGAAGAATATCTTGTCGCTTGTCATGTGACTTGTTGCCTCTGAATCAATGTACCATCCATGTGAGGTACTATTCTGAGTCACTTTAAAAGTACCACTCCATGATGCACTTTCATTTTCTTTCATGACCGCTTTAGCTCTTTCTCTTGTGGGTAGCTCCCGCTTTCGCTGCTCAGCTTTCCAGATTGAACAGTTCTTTTTCAGGTGACCGGCCTTTTTGCAGCGAAAACATACCCTGGTTTCTTTGCTTTGTCTTATGCCTTCATGCACCTTCAGAGCTGCCTCTGGTCTCTCGTTCTCTTCACTATGAAAATTTTCCTTTCTTCTGCTGTATTCATCAATTAATTTTCCCTTAACATATTCTAGCGTCAGTTCAGTTTCCGGTCTAGTTTCTAGAGCATTTATAAGGGCACTGTATGATTCTGGAAGGCTGCATAGTAGTAGTGCCACAACATGATTGTCTTTCATTTCTTCATCTATTGCACCCAGCTGGTCCACAATTTCTAGCATAGCATTTACATGTTCACCCATTTCCTGCCCTTTTTCCAGCCCCATCTAATACAGTTTGCGCATCAGATATAGTTTACTGTTTAGGTTTGCACGTTCATGCAGTTTTTGTAATGCAGTCCACATACCTTTAGCTGTGTTTTCTTTCTTTATATGAATGAGTTGATCGTCCTCCACTAACAGGCTTATGACTGCCTTTGCTTGCCTGTTTTTTCTGTCCCATTCTTCCTGGTTGTCATTGGGTCTGTGTGTATCTAGTACCGGCCACAAGTCATCTTTGGATAACAGCATTTCAAGCTTAAACTTCCATAGCTGGTAGTTGGTATTGTTGAGCTTTGCTATTGTAAACTTCATATCTGAAGCACTTGCCATCTTTCAGTGAATTGGATACAGCTCTTGTTTCCTCCTCACAGGATTTGGTAGGATTGTAAATGCAGCACTTGCTTGTAGTTTTCCTTTTTCCAGTGTCTGGAGCTGGGCCCATAACCTGTTGGTTATGTGTTAGAGAAGATACTGGTAGCTTGTGATGAGGCAGAATTTGGTTTACTTGTGTGGCTTAAGTTTCAAACATACAGAACACTTCAGTAATGTGTAACAGCAGACATCTTGGTTATGAGAGAGAGAGAAGAGAGAGAACCAACAAGTTTTACACATATGCACAACTGGTAACCTTAGTGTACAGTGCCATCTACTGGTCAAGTGATATTAACACACAATACTATATAGTACATGCTGTTGTATCCCCAACATCTTCTGCATTAAAAATCCTGCCTGTCCATTTCTAATTTTGTACACTTTAACCACTTGCCTACCGGGCACTTATACCCCCTTCATGCCCAGGCCCATTTTCAGCTTTTAGTGCTGTCGCAGTTTGAATGACAATTGTGCGGTCATGCAACACTGTATCCATATGAAATTTTTATCATTTTTTTTTACACAAATAGAGATTTCTTTTGGTGGTATTTACTCACTGCTGGGTCTTTGTTTTTTGTGCTATAAACAAAAAAAGAGCAACAATTTTGAAAAAAAAAAAGGTTTTCTTTGTTTCTATTATACAATTTTGCAAACTGGTAATTTTTCTCCTTCACTGATGTGCGTTGATGAGGCTGCATTGATAGGCAGCACTGATGGGCACTGATGGGTAGCACTGATGGGCACTGATAAGTGGCACTGATGAGGTGGCAAGGATAGGCAGCACTGATGGGCACTGATAGGCAGCACTGATAGGAGGCACTGATAGGTGGCACTGATGATCTGGCACTGATGAGGTGGCACTGATGATGCTGCAATGATATGCAACAGCAACAATGATGGGCACTGATAGGTGGCATTGATGGGTACTGATAGGCGGCACTGATGGGCAGCACTGATGGGCACTGAGGGGTGGCACTGACAGATGGCACTGACTGGTGGCACTGATGGGCACTGATGGGTGGCACTGCTGGACAGCACTGATGGGTGGCACTGCTGGGCACTGGTGGGTGGCACCGCTGGGCATAGGTGGGTTGCACTACTAGGCACTGCTGTGAACAGGTGGGTGGCACTGCTAGACACTGATGGGCACAGGTGGGTGGAACTGCTGGGCACAGGTGGGTGGCACTGCTGGGCACTTGTGGGCAGCACTGCTGGGCACAGGTGGGCAGCACTGGTGGGTGGCACTGCTGGGCACTGATCAGCAGGGTACTGATCATCAGTGCCCTGATAATCGGTGCCAATTCATCCTCTGACAATTGCTGGTTATCGGCAGTACTTTACTCACGTGACAGCATGAGGAAAGTGCAGCCGATAACCGGCAACTGGATTTACCGGTGATCTTCTGTGTCATTGTCATCCTTAGGACACAGCGATCACGGAGATCGCGGGGTGCGCGCCCCCGGGGGCACGCGGGAGGGTGCGTTCTGGGATGATGTCATATGACGCCCTCCCAGAATTGGCCGGCCATGGTGAAGCCGTCATTCGGCTATCTGCCGTTGGCAAGTGGTTAAAGTGAAACTAAGCCCACTGATTTAACAGTTTCCCAAATCATTGAAATTCAAGGCATGCCTTGATTGATAACTGTTACAGTTACTAATGTGTCTATGTTTATCTCTTAACTAAACTGTCAAGCCATCAAATGGCTGATGTTATAGCTGATCACATGTGCAGCATGTGGCGGAACCGTTCCGCCTGGGTTTCCTCGTGCGGAGCAGTGCGTCTCACCCAATGATCCCCTTTTCCGGCAAGTCTTCCAGCACTCTCCCAAGGCAGGTATTATAGCTAAAAACACTCCCTTTCCTGCTCTCCCAAACCATGAGTCTGAACTTCGTGTAGGGTGAAAATTGAATGACTCTTTATTAAACACAATTCAGTATATACAACTTCACGGGCCAACAAGTGTTCCTTAACAAAATCATAATCCAAGCAGTAGCTGTCGGGTACAGTCCTGAATGCGTCTTCAGCCCGACCGGTTAGCTTGCTGCTCAAAATGGGGACCCGGTCTTGGGTTGCCACACCATGGATGGTGCACAACCGTTCAAAGTCCTGAATAAAACTGTCAATATCCCCATCCGCCTCTGAGAAAGTTTTAAAAGCAGTGTAGGGAATTTTCTTTGGTCCGGTTGCAGTCTGGAGAAGGCAGGAGGTAATCCTCTCCCAAACCGAGTCCTCGGTTTATGACCGGGAGTGACTAAGCCGCAGTTGGGTGGCATCGTTCAGGGCCTTGGAAATCTGTTCAGGGGTGGGAGCGCTGCCAAACAGAGACAAACACCACTCCACCTCTTGTCGTAAATCCGAATGGTATAGGGGTCTCTGTACGGTGCTAAGTGGGCCTGGCGTTTCAGGGGCCGATGAGCTGCTCTGTTCCTCCAACTCCTCCTGTGAAGCAGAGTTCACTTCTGGCGGAGCAGTGTTCGCTGTAAGCGCAGCAGAGTTTGCATCAGGTGAAGTGGGGTGCGCAACCACTTGGTCCAGGACCATAATCTCGTCCAACAGTTCCTCTCTGGTCTTGGAGCCAGCGATACCTCCCCGAGCGACAAGCAGGCTTTGGAGGGCTTGCTCCCGGATGTCCCGTATATCCATCTGGCTGAGCGGGGATGTCTCCATGAAAAAGATGGGGTCCCGGTTGGTGGTTTGGACTTTCTCCGCAATGAGGAAAGATCCCACCGCTGCCAACCAATTGTGGCGGAACCGTTCCGCCTGGACTTCCTCGTGCGGAGCAGTGCGTCTCACCCAATGGTCCCCTTTTCCGGCAAGTCTTCCAGCACTCTCCCAAGGCAGGTATTATAGCTAAAAACTCTCCCTTTCCTGCTCTCCCAAACCACAAGTCTGAACTTCGTGTAGGGTGAAAATTGAATGACTCTTTATTAAACACAGTTCAGTATATACAACTTCACCCCACCCCCACCAGACAGCCTGACACCAGGTTTTCCCCACCCACAACAAACCCTACAATACAACAATACAGTATAAACCCTATTAGAGGTGAATGACTACTAGGTCACATTACCCTAAACATAACAGTGTAGAATGTCTGTGAAACATGTCCAGCTTTACAAAGGGAAGAGAAGTGAAACAGAAAGGGCAAAATGGTATCACAAAGGGACAATTCGTCACACAGCACCATGGCAACTGCAGATCAAACAAAGGCCAAGATGGCAGCTTCCTTGGCTGTAAATGATTGGAGGGCTTTGCTCTGTTTTAATGACAGCTACACATTTAAAAATATAAAAAAAAACTTTTGAGAGGGTAACTGAAATCTCTGATCACTGTCTTGCCTCTCTAGCTCTTCCAGCTTGTGATAAGATCTGAGTCTCAACTTGCAGTAACTGAAACATATTTAAATAACATAGTTAATTTATAGCATTTTCATCCATGCATCCATACTTCCACACCATCACAATCACCATTAACATAAACTTCTTTCATGCAAAGCTGAATTTACACAAGTGAGAGTTTAGAATTACATGAAGAGCTTTTCTGATATCTTTGTTCCTCAAGCTATATATAATGGGATTTAGGAGAGGTGTAATACTGGTGTAAAAAATGGATAGGAGCCATTCCTTCTCTGCCAGAAGATTTGATTTTGGCCTCATGTACATGAAGCAACCACTTCCATAAAATAGCAGAACGACAACAAGGTGAGATACACATGTGGAAAATGCTTTCATTCGTCCACCACCTTTTGGTACACTAAAAACTGAAAATAAAATCTGCATATAAGATCCACAAATTAACACAAAACAGCCGATCATTAGAAATCCACCAACAGCAAAGACAGTTAACTCATTAATATAGGTGTCGATGCATGAAATCTTAAGCAGGGGTAGAATGTCACAGAAATAATGATTAAGCACTTTGGCCCCACAAAATTGCAGCCTAAAAGTGTTAGCAGTGTGAATTACCCCATATATGCTTCCAACTACCCAGGTACCAACCACCATATTGATACAAACATCCCGACTCATTATAGCTGAGTACCTTAAGGGATTACATATGGCAATATAGCGGTCATAGGCCATTGTTGCTAATAATGAAGATTCAGAAGCAGCCAAAGATAGAAAAAAATATAACTGAATTATGCATCCTGAGAATGATATGGCAAAATGTTTAATCAAAAGGCTCACTAACATTTGTGGTAGGGTTGTAGACGTGTAACAGATGTCCAGAAAGGAGAGATTCTTAAGAAAAAAATACATTGGGGTCTGAAAATGAGAGTCTATATTTGTGAGGATAATTATAAATAAATTCCCAATAACTGTTACAAGGAAAATGATAAGAAAAAAAACAAAAACTAAACTTTTCAGTCTTATGTCAAATGCAAAGGCATTTAGGTAGAATACATTATTTATTGTGTGATTGTCCATGATTACGAGATGGTAGAGAATGTAGAATGGAGGTAAAGTCTTCTACTTTGTGTGTGTCTATTAAATAATTTTTTTGCAGCTGGAAATGTAAATATCAGGTTTAAAGGACTCTCTGCTCCAAGCCACTGCTCCCCAGTGCCATGTGAAGTCCAGGTACAGGAAGCAAGCTAAGACTTCCACACTGTCTAACTGGGAGCAGAAATAAGAGGCTGTCCAAGGGTGGGCACTGCCATTGCCATGTTTGGAGACAGTTTCTACAATAAATGTGGACGCTTTGATCTATCCAGCCTTTTCCTCTAGTCCTGGGAAATGTAAACAGTTTTATTTCCTATTTTTCTATAAAAAAACACCAGTTATGTGCAGATGATACTAAGGCATTGGCATACCAGTGCAATATTACTTAACTGTTGACATTGCTGGTATTCTGTTAGTTTCTCCTTGAGTATGTTAAAGTGTAGACTGCAATTATGGTCCGTTATGAATTGACTTGCTCATTGAAAAAAATTCCTTTAACTCATATCCACACTGTTCCATTTTATGTCTTGATCTTGCCAAGTAGCACGATATTGATTATAGTGGAATTTCTGTACTTGCTCATCTGATTTCAATGGAAATGGGTATAAGAGTTATACGACAATAAACATGTGACGTAAATAATATTGCAGCTGGAAGGTAATAGATCTGATTAACTAAAGAAAATGCTTTGTATGCTTTTGCATTGATGAACTTGAATAACCAAAGTGTACTCTCTCAACATATCAGCTGTGCATACTGTGCAGGCACACAGGGGCCTCTGAAGTCCTGGAGCCCATTATAAGTAGGAGCTATTCCTGCCAGTATTGGACCCCAGAATCTTCATAGCCAGATGATGGTTAGGGTACTTTCAGTGAATGAAATTATCCTGGGCAGGTTTCAGGCCGGATAGTACCTCATATTTATGGTGCAGAGGATGCAGGAATCAACATGTTCAAAGAAGATCAAGTGAAGGGCATTTACACACATCACCAGGTTAACAGATACATTTACATTCACCACTAGGGATGAGCCAAACTGTCTTGAATTCGTGCAGGGTTCAGCAAACTTCAGATGCTAAGCATGAAACCCATTGAAATCAATAACAGCAAAATCTATTAAATTAAAAATGCCCACTTTTGGGGCTAATATGCAAGGGGGTGTCACACTATAGAATGAGGGTGGGCACTGCTGTGGGGAACATGTAGCAATGCTAAAAAATGTTTTTAAGAATTTCATTCAGCCAGGAGCAGTGACTTTTACATGCTTAAGGTGAAAAATAAAAATGCCCAATTCCTTTAAATAACAAGCCAGGACGTGCCTTAGTCCTTCCTGCGATGGAGCAGATCGCTGTGATGTACAGAAAGTGTTGCAGCAGTACTCACATTTACAAAGGAAAAAAATCTTGCCAACTTAAAAAAAAAAAAAACTACACACATACACAGACCCTTCCAAGGGTTTGCTATATATTTGGATAACTTTTGGAGGGGTTTGTGTGCTAAAAAAAAAAAAAAGAAAGGAAGAAAGAAGCTGGCAATGAATGTCATTTGGCAGTAATATAAATGGTATAGTATTTTTTTTAATATCACTTTTACTGTACCACATCCTACAAGAATGAAAAACAAATTTCATAGAGTACCCTCAAAATGCATACCTGACTCTTAAATACATGCATGCAGTCTGTGTCCACAGTAGGATTTGTGTTTGCGGAGCAGATAAGGACTGGCCATAGAGAGATTTTGTTGATGCAGCTGGCTAGCTTAACCATTTATTGCAATATGTTTGAACTAAAAATCCTTGTTTTGTACTGCAAAGTTAGCTAGAAAGGGTATATAGCAGTGTGCAGAGGGTTCATCCAGAATTTATTCCCCATAACCCACGCCAGGTGTTTGCAGGGTTCTGTGGGTGGAGGCTTATCATAATAATAATAAAGGGGCCCCAGAAACAGATCCCCCTATGTGAATTAGCATGGGGTACATATTATTTTTACTCATTCACCCAAAAAATTTGTAACCTAAAAATATAGGCAAACAAACATTTGTAAAGTCCTTTACTAAAACAAAATAAAGATTCCAAAAACAGTCTCTTGTTGGAAATCCTTCATCAATCACAATGTATGCTGGCTGTCAACTCACCTAAAAAGAAACCCCCAAAGCTCTTATCAGCTATATAGGTGAAGGGGTAGGAATAGTGGTGATATCAATGGCCTAATTTGGCCATCACAGAACCCAGCATTTATAGGAGCACAGAAATGAATCCTGTGCTGTGCTGAATCTGCTGGGAGCTTCCCCCAGACCAAAGTGTTGTAGCTATCCTGGGCATTTTTCTGCTGCAGCCTATTGCCTCCCCAAACACCTCCAGTGAGGCCTATCCTGGACATTCCTCCACGGCATCCTATTCCCTGTGCCTTGGGACCCCTCTAGTCCAGCCTATTTCGGTGCTCCTCCAGTGAGGCTTGTCCCCTAGGATTCCTCTGGTGTGGCCTGTGTGTGTAGGAAAGGCGGTGATGGAGGGGAAGGGGCTGTGCTCAGTGTAAATGGTGGAGGTGCAGTGGGTGTCAGTGGTCTTCCCGCGGGGGTGGGTAATGGGGAGCGGCTGGGGTGGTGGTGGGACCCCAAAACAGTACTGTCTGGTGCTGGGGAGAGCCCTGATCACCTGGATGATGGAGGCTATAGCGAGGTGAGGATGATCCACCGAGTTACTGTAGGAATCAGTTAGGTCAGTGTAGGAATCAGGTAGGTCAGTGTAGTAGTTAGGTAGGTCAGTGTAGGAATCAGGTTGGTCAGTGTAGTAGTTAGGTAGGTCAGTGTTGTAATCAGGTAGATCAGTGTAGTAGTCAGGTACAGTAGGTCAATGTGGGAATCAGGTAGGTCAGTGTAGTAGTTAGGTAGATCAGTGTAGGAATCAGATAGGTCAGTGTAGTAATTAGGTAGGTCAGTGTAGGAATCAGGTTGGTCAGTGTAGTAGTTAGGTAGGTCAGTGTAGGAATCAGGTTGGTCAGTGTAGTAGTTAGGTAGGTCAGTGTAGGAATCAGGTTGGTCAGTGTAGTTGTTAGGTAGGTCAGTGTAGGAATCAGATAGGTCAGTGTAGTAGTTAGGTAGGTCAGTGTAGTAATCAGGTACAGTAGGCCAATGTAGGAATCAGGTAGATCAGTGTAGTAGTCAGGTAGGTCAGTGTAGAAATCAGGTAGAACAGTACATTTTGATCTGGCTTTGCTTTAATACAAAAGAAACATGTGTCATGATATGATAAAGGCACCACAAGCCGCAGGTAGGTTCCCCTATCATTTCCTCATCAGGAAGCTCCTCTATACTATGCAGTGTGAAGTGTTGACTCCCCCATGATACAGATGGCTCTCACTAGGTGGGGCACCAGATATTATAGGGTGTAGGGGACACAAGTTCTGTTATCTGCATAGTGTACACACCTTGAAGTTGGGACCTCCCAGGGTACACAGGTGTGTAAATTCAAGGTATCCACCTGCACTGCACAGTGTCCTGCATGATAAGTGTATTGAAGTTAATCCTGTATGGTGCAGAGACAGGTTCTCACAGTATCAGGCTAAAGATAAACATCAGGGAATGTAGAAGTAGTTGTTCCTTATCACATGAGTTGCACATAAAAAGAAGGAATGATATTTCTCTTGCAGCATATCCTCACAAGGCCTACTACTTTACTAGTGGAAGGGACTCCTAAGGGAGTGCTAAAAGTCTATGGGTTAGGGGGCGCAAATTACTTGCCTTGCCCGAGGAGCTGACAACCCACACTATGCCACTGCTGTTAGGTGCTGAGTTTGGTAACCTATGGATGTACTATGTGTAACAGACTGTGACACAGTACAACCATAACAAAATCAGTACCCAACAGACACTATATTAATCCAGGTAGGCCATCACTAAAGGCCTAGGGGGGAAATGCATGACCCGCCACTGCTTGATAGAGCACTAGAGATTAATTATAATGCACAAAGAACATCAAATTCTGATGCAAATTAGAAGCAACATAATGCAGGATGCTGGTATTGTTAGTTTCATATTTTTATTTTATTAGTAGTTACCATTTTAAATCAATTATCAGAACTCTCTTTGGAAAGTGAATTTTCTAATAAAGCGTTACTAAACCCACAACAGTAATATCAGTCTGCATATGCAGTAAAGCATGCTTGCTCTACTATAGCGTAATGAATAAACGCTGTCTTTAGCGTGAAACGCATTTACCTGCCAGTCCCCCACTGTATTTCCACTGTCCATATTGATTTTATCTTGGTTCAATAAAGTGGATTGTTTGGAGTGCAGCTGATCGGACGTCCTTTGTTCTCCTCTATGCAGCACACGAGCTGGGCTAGCACCTACAGGAAGAGTTGTGCTTGGATATTGGGAGTCTCTCTACCTTGAGAAGCGGTGATACATATATGCTTGTTCTACTCACTGTGGAACCTAAGGCGTTAATCATCTGCATTGTGTAAAAATGCTGTTTGATCCTGACTTCTATGATCCTCTCCTTCCAGTGTCACCCTCTTATCGCCTGAAAAGACTTTTTATGTGGAGTCACTCTGCGCATGC